TGTACAGTTTGTAAATGATTTTGTTAAGATTCTCTTTTCTCTAGACAGAAAAACTACTCCTACTAAACTGTTCCCACTTTTTGGGAGAGGACTGCCGCTTTTTTTTTTTCCCCCCACTCTTGGCTCCCAGGAAGTTGAGGATGATTAGGTGTATAGATAGGCAGGGTATGCTACCTCTTTTGTAAATTACAGCAAGAATGTAACATCTCAAAAACAGCCCACAATAAGTCCAGCTCTTCCCTTGTTAGTCCTTGGAACTTTTAGGTATTAGGAAGCATAACCTAATGATTTGTTTCCAAGAGCTAATAACAAACCTTTCTGCAACTCTCATGATATACCTGTTTATTTTTATTTAGAGTTTTGGTCTTCTCTCCTTCTTTCATCACCTCTGTAAATGTCAGTATTGATGGAGTTCATTTGGGGGCTGCTCATCATGTGTCTGGTCCTCTCTACGTAGCAAAGTGGAGCCCTCAAAACTACAGTGAAGGGTTACATTACATAGATGTGATGGTCCAGGTGAGCTGTTTACTGGCTTTCATTACTTTAAACTATAATACAGTGGTTCTCAACCTATTCAACATTGGGCCACAGGTTGAGAACCACAGCCACTTTTCCCAACCACAGACACCCTATCCCCAGGGCTTCCTGCCCAAAGACCCCTCCACAGAGTGGAGCCAGCAGTCAAGTCCTGGGTTTGTATGGGAGGGTGGTTGGCTGGAACCCAGAACTCACCATGTGATGCCCAGTGAGAGCCCCAACCCTGGGCCAGTTGCGTGGCAAGGCAGCAACGAAGCAGGCTGGATCCCAACCTGGCTGGGCCAGCCAGCATCCCTGACCCTGTGGGGTTGGCCAGAAGCCCTAGCCCCATTTAATGGGCCTGGTAGCCTTTAGCATACAACTGTGTGCTAATTGGGCCATGAGTTGAGAACCACTGCTGTAGTGCCTAGACTGTCAACCTACTGCATCATGTAAGTAGGAATTATTTTAATTTAAACAAATGTTCATATGTTCCAGTTTTGTCTGCCAAGCAGCAGAAATGAAAGTCCTATTTATTTAGTGAAAAAGTCTGAATCCCTAACGTTAGGACTTTATTTAAGGATTTGTACAAAAGGATTCAAACTTCAGACTGAAAATGTGTTGATGTGAGTTACAAGGGGAAGATCAGATCACTGGTAAACAAGGTTTTTCAAATAACAGGTGCCATTTTAAGATTACCTCAAAAGAGAGGCGCACTGATTTGGACAAGAAATATGTAGTTATGATAATCTTTCAAGCAAATTTTAGACAATTTGACATTTTCTTGCCTACTAAGGACAAGGATCCAAATTTGGAGGGCCTTAGAGATGAAATTGTAATAGGTTTTGTTTGAAATTGATCTAAAAACTTGTGAAAGGTTAGCATGTAACATCTTTTTTTATTTCACAGAATACCAAATCTTTATTGAAATTTTGTTGTTTGAATATAACATTGTGAGTAACAGTTCTTCTTTTATCAGAGGGGTAGCCGTGTTAGTCTGAATCTGCAAAAGCGACGAGGAGTCCTGTGGCACCTTATAGACTAACAGGTGTATTGGAGCATAAGCTTTCGTGGGCAAAGACCCACTTCGTCAGATGCATGTAGTGGCCACTACATGCATCTGACGAAGTGGGTCTTTGCCCACGAAAGCTTATGCTCCAATACACCTGTTAGTCTATAAGGTGCCACAGGACTCCTCGTCGCTTTTGCAGTTCTTCTTTTGGCAACTATAGTTCAGTAATGTGACTTTAAGAAACTTGAATAGAAACTGAGCAATTACCTCCATTTTTGTATACATTTATACATAGAAATTAATAGTATTGAGAGAGTCAATTTCTGTCTCACCATGCATAGTCTAGCCAAAAAACATTTTTGTAGAGCAGAAAACTTTCTTATTTAAGGGAGTCATACTTCAGATTCTGAAATGTTAATGGTTTGGATACTCATCCATATGCATAACTTTCTATCTTTGTAACAAAACAAGATATGGACAGTAATAATTTTCTGTAGCCAACTTGCTGTACTTTTAATGTTTAGTATCCTAGCTTCTTGTTATCTTTTTGCATTTTCTTCATAAAGAAAGCATTAAAAATTTCAGAATTGATCCTTCTCAAATGAAGGGAGAAAAGCCACATTGTTATAGGGCTCACTCTCACGGTGCCCCATTGTGATTCTCTGGGGCACTGCTCGCTCTTGACAGGGCCTCCAGCAGTTGGTTATCATCTCTTATGAGGTCCATGTCAGTGGTGCTTTAGCCCTCCAACTAATACATGTGGGACTGGCTATCAGTAGTTCAATGTGCAAATATATGCATTTACCACCATTTTAATAGGATTGTGCTGTATAAAAATGAACTTCTGACTTCCTTCACTCATATACAGGCAGTCCCCGACTTACGTGGATCCGACTTACGTCGGATCCCTAGATACGAACAGGGTGAGGCAACTCCCGCACATGCGCAGCAGCATTCCCGGGGCTCGCTCACCTGGGTCCTAGGATCCTCCTCCTCCTCAGGCCGGCTCCGACTGGGGTCCCGCAGAGCTGCCGGGCAGAGGAAAAGTGCCTCCCCACGCCCGCTGCCCCCCCCACCCCTCTGCCAGCAACAGGCTGCCCCCTCCCCTGAGCAACAGGCTGCAGAACAGACAAAAGCAGCCTCTCTGCCCCTCCTCCCCTCTATACATGCCGGGCTCCCGGAGCGCAGCAGCGTCCCCGGGGCTCGCTCACCTGGGTCCTAGAATCCACCTCCTCCTCCTCTTCGGCCGGCTCCAACTGGCCTCTGCCTGCAGCAGCTGGCCACAGGGACAGGGATCCCGCAGAGCTGCCGGGCAGAGGAAAAGTGCCTC